TACCAGGGATGCATGGAGGACTGGGTCAAGCGTTGGCACATGTGTGTTGCTTCAGATGGATCATATTTTGAAGGAGATAAAATAAATTTGCCTGAAATTTAACTCTATTTTGTTTTATTTAAAAATTCCCGGTACTTTCTGATCATAGGGTATACATACATTATATTGGATATGCCATTCGTATTTAAAGACAGTAAGAATGTCCAAGGAAAGGTACATGTTCAAATAGACAATCGGTATTTTCATATCGTATGGACAAGTACGCGAATTGCGAAACATTCAACACCTACAAAAGAAGCAAAGTCACCTCTCTCGTTATGTTAGGGTGATAATAGATTCCTCTTTATAAGCCTACATATAAGAGTGGTAAATAGCTATTTACGACATCAAGTAGTCTGTGCAGTATTATACCTCGAGATTCTCGATTCGTCCTCGAGCTCACTAGAACTTCCGTAGAACTTATGTAGCGTAGAATTCAAAATTTCACAAGAAATGTGCGTCTCCTGATCGCAGACAAGAACTTACCAAAGTTCGAGTTTGTTGCGAGTGAAATCAGCTCGCGTTATCGTTGCAGCTAGGTCGACCACGCCACGGTAAGTCACTCTAGCGCAAGAAACGACGACGATAAGCGCTCGTTAATTATCGACGAAAGTGTCGAGAGTGTTTTAAATATACACGCACACACGCTCTCGGTCGCGGAACTTAATTCGCCGGATCTCCGCGTCGTTTAAACGGCCGGCGAAACGTCCGATCGCGAATCCGAAAGAGAGGAGTATTCCTTCCGCGGGCTCTCATCGTTTTCCCGCCGGGTATTTCCGCAGTATCGATTCGACGACGGCGGATCGAGAACGGCCGCGGAACACGAGGAACGAGCGCGCAGGGGTTGCGTGTGCACGAGTGGAGCGGAAGCGCTTGTGGAGGCAAATGCTCAGGCCGCAAGCAGGGAAAAAGCGCGCGCGCGCGCGTCGGACACATACAATACGCGATGTACGTATGTATTCGTTACCGTGAAACGAGTTAAGCGTTCCCGATCTCTATTTGCGTTTCGACGGGAACACGCTGTTTGTCTTCAATCCGCGTGGTTCGAAAAATATCGAGGAGGTCGGCGCGACGCGAGCCCGCACACAAGGCTTAATAGCACCGACCGATCTGCGTGCATCCCGGACGCGCGCTTCAAAACACGCCTGCAGCAGAGAGACAAGGGAACAACGCGCGACCTGTTGTCGATTACGCGACTAATTGAGCGAACTTTCCGCCGCGTCATTAAAAATCTCACAGTCGCGGAGGAACGTGCGCGAGGCGGTGCTGGGCGCTGAACGATTAAAGGGTTTCTCAACTGACAAGGGAACCTAGGCAATCCGAAAATTCTGAAAATTCTGAAACATTGTGTGCAAGTAGAGTAGTACATCCATAACATAAAACTATTTTTTGTTTCTGCTAAATTTCGATTTAAGTGGGTGAAATCACCTCTCGAAAAAACATGACATTTTTATTTTTAGAGAATATTTCCTAAAATACAAGACATATGAAAAAATATGTTTATATAAAAGTGATAGAATATTTTATACTCTTTGCAACGGTATATTCAAATTTTGCAAAAATGAAAAATTTTTGAACCCCCCTTTGCCCATTGGTTTCGAGGGGTGGTTTCACCCCCTTAAATCGAAATTTAGCAGAAACAAAAAATAGTTTTATATTATGAATGTACTTTACTTGCACACAATGTTTCAGAATTTTTTGAATTTTCGGGTTGCCTATGTTTCCTTGTGAGGCAGCCGGCGGATCAATCATCAAAACTGATCGACCGTCATATATGCAATCACGAGTAATTTCATCGATTGATGAAATCAATGGCTGCTGATCAGTGTGCAATCGGCCGCGTCGAAGTTTGATTAGCAATTGATTTCATCAATCGACGAGGTTATAAGGGATTTTACGTATAACGATGGATTAATGTGGATTATCGTGCGGTCAGAGAAAATTTTCGCCAGGATGCGTCTATCCCGTGAAATCCAACCCATCTCATGCTCATAACGAACATGTCCGTGGAAAGTAAATCCTCCCGTAATCGTAGCGTAAACAGATGGTGGAGAGGAGAGAGAGAGATCGCGCGAAGGGTGTCGTGTAATTTTAGGGCGCGTTTATTTGTAAGGGAGGGTGAAGATGTGGAACGCGGAAAGGAATTTTGGTCGGTCGACGGCGCCGCGACACCCAACGAGCAGTGATGTACGTTTAATAACGCGAAAGGGTGAGAGAGAGAGAGAGAGAGAGAGAGAGAGAGAGAGAAAGAGAGAGAGAGAGAGAGAGAGAAAGAGAGAGAGAGAGAGA